ACGAGCCACAAGATCCACCAGCCATTATTGTAGCAAAATTATAGTAACCTAGTTTCTACAGTGTCCACCTACAGTAATATCACCTATAAATAACCTCCCAAAGCCTTCAGTTGATATCATTCTAGAAGCAAGAAAAAGAAAGAGAGAGAAAGATAGAGAAATAAAGTGGGAGAAAAAAATAATGAATGATTGTAAAAGAGTGTAGTAGCTTATAATAAAAAGAGTGTTTGCATTGAAGAAAGGGAAAAATGCTTCCAGCCCCCAAAACACAAGAAAACGTGCTCCCCCCCCCCCCCACTTTTTTTAATGGGTGCTTTGCCCCCAAAATGATCCGTGATTTTCTTCCAGCCCCTAAAACGAATCCCCAGGCACTCCGTTTAAACCCCTCACGAAATGCCCAAAATACCCATACATAGCCTGTAACCATCACCCTCTCACGTCGAAAACATAGCGTTTCGACTGTAGGTATTAAATGGTGATTAGAATGCTATTTTTTAGGGGGGGGGGATTCTCATTTCCCTTCAAAATTATCACCAGATATATTCCCTTTCCCGTTGTAATAAAATCACTGAGTTCCTCCCCATTCTATTACCCCAACTAATCTGTTCCTTCCACTTAATTCTCTTCAATAAAAGCCTCTTCGATTATTCAACTACTTCCTGTAATAAAATAACGGATGATCTCTTCTATGCGTGGTAATGAAGGCAAAAAGCAACAAAGATGGTGACGGTGTATTCGTCGTTATCAAAGAGAATACAGAAATAATCAGCTTGAAATATCAAGTGTCGGAAAGGCTTAAAATACTAATGTAATCTCTTTCACTGAAGTTCATATGCGAAAGGAAAAAGAAATTCAGTATTTCAATTGACAATGACGATGACTTAAATTTGATATTCGAGTATTGTCGGCGTAATGGATTTACAGACACGAATTTGTATGCTACCTCCGCTGGGGAATTCTCAACTTCACAAAACACGCAAACTACATCGAAAAATGCGTAGGAATTACACTCCAGATTTCCTTATGAGTTTACTGATAGGTTTTGCCATTAGTTGTTAACTTTATGCATTGGTTGCTTAGGTAATGAGTTGGTTGTCAAGGTTAGGTTAATGACTGGTGGTTAAGGTTATTTGTTCACTGTTACGTATACTAGTTGGTTGCTATGATAAGGTGTTTGATGTTATGTATATGCGTTTGTTGTTAAGATCACGAGTCTGTCCTTAAATATAAGGGTTAGTTGTCAAGGATATGTGTTGGTTGTTACGTTTATGAGTTTGTTGTTAAGGTTATCAGTTCATTGCTGAGGCTATGTATTTTTATTACTACTTCAGGACAATACCGACAGAAAATTCACGATACGCAAATACCACGTTCACCCAAACCTGTAATGATGAGCGTATTCCTAATGATAACCCCACCGGCGACTCGATCATGCTGCTAGAAGACATGCTTAACCACCAAACAAAGATCCCAACTGAGTGGCACACCTCCATATATGAAGTTGGTCAGAAATTTGATAGTGCTGCTGAAGTTAGATTAGCACTTTAATACTATTCAATTGCTAAATTGTTCGAGTGTGATTTTTATCATAATGAACAAAGGCGCATAAGAGTCTATTGCTAAATGGTTACCCTTGGATGTTGTTTGCTTCCCCGTTCAGAAATTCGTCTATTATGTCCATAAAGAATTTTGAATCTACCCACACCTGCGGTCAATATGGAGTAAATGCTGGCAACTCAAGGGAATCAAGAAAGTTCATTGCTAGCCAAATACAAGTTGTTTTGAAGGTTAGGCCAGATCTTCTGTAGTTGATATCAAGAACAACATGCTCTCTAATTTTGGTATCAAGATTAACTACAGTAAAGCATGGTGGGGGTAAGGAGACAGCTCAACATGACATGTTCGGTGACGATGATAAGGCTTACGATTCACTGAGATGGTACGTTCTTTTTTATTCTTCTGAAATCACTCTTACGTTTTGGTTGCTAACTATACGTATTAGTTGTTAAAGTTATCGGTTCGTCGTTAAGTATACGTGTTGGTTGTTAAGTTTGAAGATTAGTTGTTATGGTTATGAATCTATTGCTAAATTTACTGCTTTGTTGTTATATTCATGTAGATATGAATCCATGGTGCATGCAACTAATCCAGGGAGTCATGTTGTTATTGATGTTGATGATGGGAGGTTCAGGCAATTGTTCATTAGTTATAATGCCTGTATTGAAGGGTTCATTGCTGGGTGCATGCCTCTATTATTTTTGGATGGAACATTTATTAAAGATCGTTACAGAGGCATACTACTTAATGCCACTGGGTATGACGGAAACCAAGGAATATTTCCCCTTGCTTATTGCGTATGCGACAGGAGAATGAGGTTAACTGGAAATGGTTCTTACAAGGATTGTGGATGTTACTGTATGATAGAGAAAATCCTTACCAACCTCCACATCGACTGATAATGATTTTCGACGCCGACAAGGGTATTAGTCAGCAGTCGAGGAATTCTTTTCATATGCATTCCATTCAAGGTGTGTTCTGCATCTAATCGAGAATTTCAAAAAGAAGATGAAGGATTTTGGGCGCAAGGCAAATATCACCACTACGTTGGGCGAGCTATTACAATCTGCGGCTTATAAGTTCACAATTTCTGAATGGGATGATGACATGAAAGAATTGGCAGCGATCGATTATAGGGCTTACGTCACTGCAATGAAATACTCCCCGGAGAGATGGGTAAATGTGCATTTTCCTAGTATAAGGTAAGATAGCTTGGTTTCAATGTTATTTTATTACAACACCGTTATAGTTGTTTAGGTTAGAGTTGGCCTACAGTTTTCTGTTAAAGTTAGATTTTTATTGTTATGGTTAGAATTATTCTGCTAGGGTTTTGTTGTTAAGTTTAGAATTTTATTGTTAAGGTTAGGACTTTAATGTTTAGGTTATGATTTTATTGTTAATGTTAGTATTTTGTTGTTAAGGTATGACCATGTTACTTCAAACGTTGCTGAGTCCTTCAATAGCTGGATAAGAAAGGCACGATTGTTACGAATCTTACCTTTGGTTGAGACCATATGGAAGCAAATAATGGAGCGCATGCATGAAAGGAGGCTAGTGGGTCAGAAATGGTCTGGATACTTATGCTCGGAAGCGGAGATGGTGTTGTGTGATAATATTCAGCATGGTAGCTGCTTGGCGATTAAACATTCGACGGAAGATATTATGGAGGTCGAGTCCAATAAAACTTATCATGTAGATTTGAAGAATCGGGCATGTTCTTGCAGGTCCTGGGACATCACTCGCATTCCTTGCAAACATGCGTGCACTGTAATTACATAGATGGGATGAGAAATTTATCAATATTGTGATTGTTACATGATTGTTGACGCATTCAGAGCAAGTTATGCACCTATTATCTTTTCCATTCCAGATTACGAGAAGTACTTTGTACCACCAGAAGAGCGAGTGTTGAAGCCTCCTCTCACCAAAAAAAGACGTGGCGGATCATGCACTAGACGAATAAACAACAGGTCGCTGAACACCCATCTTGTTAAGTGCTCTCGATGCAACATGGAGGGTCACAATCTTGCAACCTGTAATGAGCCTATATAGTTTAGCGTTTTATTGTCATATATATGGATTTGTTGTCCTGTATATCGTTACAAGTGATAAGGTCATGGCTTGGCTGTTAAGGTTACTATTTGATTGTTAAGTTTATAACTTGTTTGTTGAAGTTTTGACTTGGTTGTTAAGTTTATCGATTGAATGTTAAGTTTATTGTTATCCACTTGCACTTGGCTGTCAGTGTTACCAATTGTTAAATCCTCCTCTCACCAAAAAAAAGATTGGGAAGATCATGTACTAGACGAGTTTGTTTTGTTAAAAATAGGTCGCTGGACACCCGTCCTGTTAAGGGCTCTCGACACAACATAGAGGGTCACAATCGTCAAAATTACATACAAACCTATATAGTTTAGCGTTTTTATTGTTAAGTCTATGGAGTGGTTGATAAGAATACTGTTTGGCTGTTATGTTTATAGAATTTTGTCAAGGATATCGTTAAAATTGTTAAGTTTATTACTTGGTTGTTAAGGTTATTATTTGGTTATCAAGTTTATCACTTTAATATTAATGTTACTATTATTCACTTGCACTTGGCTGACAAGGTTACCGAGATATTTTTGATTTGACTGCATTCAATGTATTTCATAGTTCCCAAGACAGTAGAGTTATCTCACCATCCTTCGGCTTGTTCCAATACAGAACCAGCCTATAACCTTTCTCCTCACATTTATATCTTTTTTATCTTCCCATCACCGCCACTCTATTTATCCTCACTATTTTCTCGATCATTCTAAGATCATGGCTAGCCCTCACGCTGATGAAGACATTTTCAATATTTATGGGTTCTGACCATATAATAGTATCAACCTTTTTTGAATATTATTACCCTTATCTATTCCCCATTGTTATTTTCTCTAAGTTCCATCAGTTGGGCGTGAATATAAATGGCTTTCTCCAAAGAGTTTCCCGTGAACTTACCAAGCTACTGGAAAGCTCTTTGGTGAAAGCCATTTGTGTTTAGGCACAGCTGATGGAACTTAGAGAAATGACAGTGGGGAATAGCTAACGTTATTAGGATTCAAATGGTTGATGCTATTATACATCAGAATCCAAGAAATCTCTGTTGTAATAGTGAAGTCACTTGGGCAGGCAGGCTTATGGGTTTGTTGTTGATGTTAGGGTATTGTTGTTACGCTTATGGGTTTATTGTTAACCTTAACGTTGTATAGTAAAGTTTATGGATTAGTTGTCAAGGTTACAGATTGCATGTCATGGTTAGCGCTGGGTTGTTATTTCACGTTTCGTTGATAAGGTTATGTCTTGGATTGGTTGTTAAGGTTAGCACCGGGTTGTTAATTCACGCTAATTAACGTTAATATAGTTTAATGTGTAACTTGTAACGAGCCTATATAGTTTACCGTTTTATTATCATGTATATGGATTTGTTGTCAAGTATATCGTTAGAAGTGTTAAGGTCATGACTGGGCTGTTAAGGTTACTATTTGGTTGTTAGGTTTATCGATTGAATGTTATGTTTACTGTTATTCACTTGTGCTTGGTTGTCACGATCACCGAGATATATTTTATGCTACTGCATTTAATGTATTTCCTAGTTCCCAAGGAGGAGAGTTAAAGATAACATGAACTTCTACCTATCCCCACATCCCACGCGGCAACATCACCATCCCTTTGCCTGTTCAACCACATGATAGGTATGATAACCTTTCAGTGCAATCTTTCCTCGATCTCCCCATCGTCGACTCTCTATTGACCCTCCCTCCTTTATATGTAAATCCCAAGATTTTACCCTCTCCCAAAACCTTCAAGTTCTCCTGTCGCCATTAACCAGAAGATCAATGCTAGTCCTCACGCCGATGAAGGACATGGTGATAAGGATGCACGCTGATGAAGATCTTTGATATCCCTCACGCTGATGAAGACGTTATCCACATTGTCTTTGCTCTTAGTTCCATGAGCTGTGGGTGAATATATGTGGCTTTTTCCAAAGAGTTTGTACATTAACACCTAGTTATGATTCAAAAGTGCAGTGAATACAATCAAGTCAGATGGGTCATGCGTGAATCACATGGGAAGGCATGCATATGCTGGTGGAGATAGTCCTCTGGCTTACGTTAAAACTGTATATATACAGTTTTAACGTAAGCTAGAGGACTATCTCCACCAGCATATGCCTGCCTTCCCATGTGATTCACGCATGACCCATCTGAATTGATTGTATTCCACACACTTATGAATCTTAATTGTCTTGTTATTATACAAGCTCATTGAAGGGAGTCAGTTATATTCACCCACGGTTATGGAACTTAGAGCAGAGATAATGGTTGTACATGCAGCTGTCATCGTGTTGTTGAGCTTAGAGATTTGTTGTTTAGTTTACGGGGTTGTTGGTAAGCTTATTTGTTTGTTGTTAAGGTTGTAGTATGATTGTAAAGAAAATCATTGCCCGATACAAGGTTGTTTTGTTAAGTTTATCGTTTTATTGTTAAGATTATGGACTGGCTGTCAAGTTTATTGACTGGTTGTTAATCTTATGGATTTATTGTTACGTTTGGCATTTTATTGTTAAGCTTATGGAATGGTTGTCAAGTTTACTCTTGGTTGTCAATGTTTGGCGTTGTAATGTAAGCTTATGGTTATGTTCGCCCTTGGTTGTCAAAGTTTTGGTCTGACATTAAATGTATATGGCAGTTTGATTTACGGAAGTAAATGTATACTCGTAGTTTTGATCTGAGAGACTATCGTTTGTCTATTGTTTATTGACTGGTTGTTAATCTTATGGATTTATTGTTACGTTTGGCATTTTATTGTTAAGCTTATGGAATGGTTGTCAAGTTTACTCTTGGTTGTCAATGTTTGGCGTTGTAATGTAAGCTTATGGTTATGTTCGCCCTTGGTTGTCAAAGTTTTGGTCTGACATTAAATGTATATGGCAGTTTGATTTACGGAAGTAAATGTATACTCGTAGTTTTGATCTGAGAGACTATCGTTTGTCTATTACTATCAAGATTATGTACTGGTTGTCAGGCTTTTTAATTTATTGTGAAGTTTGGCGTTGTATTGTTAAGCTTATGGATTGGTTGTCAAGTTTAGTGCTTTGTTTAGCTTATGGATTGGTTGCTAAGTTTAGCACTTTGTTGTTAAGCTTATGGATTGGTTGCTAAGTTTAGCGCTTTGTTGTTAAGCTTAGCCTTTTGGGTGAATGTATACCCGTAGCTTTGGCCTGACATTAAATGTATACGACAGTTTGATTTGTGAAAGTAAATGTATTATTAAACTTATGGATTGGTTGCTAAGTTTAGCGCTTTGTTGTTAAGCTTATGCAATGGTTGTTAAGTTTAAAGCTTTGTTGTTAAGCTTATGGATTGGTTGCTAAGTTTAGAGCTTTGTTGTTAAGCTTAGCCTTTTGGGTGAATGTATACCTGTAGTTTTGGCCTAATATTAAATGTATACGATAGTTTGATTTGCGGAAGTAAATGTATACCCGTAGTTTTGATCTGAGAGACTATCACTTGTCTGTTACCATCAAGGTTATGTGCTGGTTGTCAAGCTTTTTGATTTATTGTCAATGTTTGGCATTGTATTGTTAAGCTTATGGATTGGTTGCTAAGTTTAGCGCTTCGTTGTTAAGCTTATGGAATGGTTATCAAGTTTAGATCTTTGTTGTTAAGCTTATGGATTGGTTGCTAAGTTTTGCATTTTGTTGTTAAGCTTATGGAATGCTTGTCAAGTTTAGCTCTTTAGTTGCCAAGGTAATCAACAGAAAATTTTTGATTTCTCTCTACATTAAATGCATTCCATAGTAGCGTATGTTCCCAAGATAGGCAATATTATCACCTGGCTCCTCGCTATTCGCAGCTACCACGCATCAATTACC